CTGGGGGCCGGGGGACGGCGGAGCCGCATACCGCGGAGTAGACGGCAGACCAGAGGGTCTTTGCCGACCGGGAGATCCCCGACGGGGGTGTGAGCCGCCGAAATCGCGGAGCGCACGACGTTGACCGAACGGTAAGAGCGGCCAGATGAAAACAAGGAGGAGAGAAAATTAAGAATCATGGGAATAGGTGCTGTAAAGGGATCGGAGTCCCGTTCCATGCACCAAGTAGACCAGGAGGCCCAAGCTGAAAGGTAACAGCGTCTAGTTCCCGGGGCCCAGGAGTCCCATAAGAGGTCCCTAGCAGCCTGCGATAGTCCGCTGACTCGCCAGGAACCCCGGAAAGAGACCAAGCCACCAGAGGTAGCCGGTCTTCCAGGAGTAGTGGGTGGAGATGCCCTTTGGGATCCGTGAGCAGGTCCGGGAAGGATGGTAGGAGAAGAGGGTCCCTGTAGGAGGAGGCCAGGAGGTCCGGGAACCATGGTTGGCTCTGCCACAAGGGCGCTATGACAACCAGTTTGATCTGTTGCGTCCGTATCTGGTGTAGTGTTCTCGCAATCATGGAGAATGGGGGAAAGGCGTAGGCTCCTGTCGACGGCCATTGTTGGAGAAATGCGTCTGTCGCCTTGCTCTCCGGGTCCGGGAGCCAGCTGAAGAACTCCGGGGTCTGGTGATTGTTGCGAGAGGCAAACAGATCCAGGTGAAAGGGACCCCTCCGGGCTGCAAGGGCCCTGAAGATTCTCGTGTTTAGCTTCCAGTCGCTGACGTCTCTCCAGTGGCGAGAGAACCAGTCGGCTGTGAGATTGATTTCTCCTGGCAAGTATTCTGCCTGTAGCGTGATGTTGCGAGGGAGGCAATAGTCGAAAATGCCTCTCGTGATATCCGACAGCAGGCGAGAGCGAGCGCCTCCCAGGCGGTTGATGTACTGGACTGCGGATACATTGTCCATGCGCAGGAGGATGCAGCAGTTGGATCTTTCCCGGGCCAAGCTGCGAATCGCGAAGGATCCTGCCAGGAGTTCGAGGCAATTGATGTGCATGGAGAGCTCCTGCGCCGTCCATGTTCCCCCCGTGGAGATGGTTCCGTTGGTGGCACCCCATCCCCACAGGCTGGCGTCTGATTCCAGTACGAAGTCTGGGGCGTCTCCGAATATGGCCCTGCCGTTCCAGGCTTGCATGCTGTCCAGCCACCATGATAATTCCTCGCGAACCTCCATCGTCACCGGGACGGGTTGGTCGTAAGTAGGCCTGCGGCGTAGGTATTTCGCCTTGAGACGTTGCATGGCCCTGTAGTGGAGGGGACCCGGAAATATGGCCTGAATGGAAGCCGAGAGGAGTCCTACAATCCTGGCCAGATTGCGTAGTGGAATGGAATCGAGACGGAGAACCCTGCGAATCTCCTTGCGAATGGCTGTGATCTTTGAGGCTGGTAGCCTCAGAGTGCATGTCGTCGAGTCGATCTCGAAGCCGAGGAATTGTATCGTCTGGGTAGGGGTCAGTTCCGATTTCTGTTGGTTTACGATAAACCCCAAAGACTCCAGTAGGGACACTGCCAGGTGAGTGTGTTGGCGTAGCCTGTGTTCGTCGGCGCAGAAGATGAGGAGATCGTCTAAGTAGATGATGCATCGAATGCCCCTTGATCTTAGGTGGGCCACCACTGGTTTTAGGAGCTTGGTGAAGCACCATGGGGCTGAGCTGAGCCCGAAAGGGAGGCAAGTGAATTGCCAAGGGCGTCCGTGCCAGAGGAAACGTAGGAGTGCTCGACAGTCCGGGTGCACCGGGACTGACAGATACGCGTCCTTTAGATCGAGTCTGGTGAACCAGTCGTTGCTTCGAAGAAGGTCTCGCAGGAGGTGGATGCCTTCCATCTTGAAGTGGCGATAGACCACATATGCGTTGAGGGCGCGTAGATTGATGACGGGGCGGTATTCTCCCGACTTTTTCCGAACCAGGAAGATGTTGCTGAAGTAACCACCCCCGTCGCGGGCCGGCTGGATAGCCCCTTTGTCTCGGAGCTCGCGTAGCTCCGTGTTGACAAGGTTGTGGTCGGAGGGTGACATGTGGATGGGGCGAGGGGGCTGAACCTGAAAAGGGGTCCCCACTAGGTCTATGATATAACCCTGTACAGTTTGTAGGATCCATGTGTCTGAGCATAGGGTGGCCCAATTCTGGAAAGAAAGGGAAATACGGCCCGCGGTGCGGGTACATGGTAACAGTGGAGGAATATGGGTCCTTACCTGCGGTAAAGCGGGAACGTCCGCATCCACGAGGTCCACGACCTCTATCCGAGCCTCTGGAAAAGGGTTTCTGCCGGTAGTCTCTTGTCGGGTAAAATGGTGTTGGTTGGGTGCGGGGGCCTGAAGGCCAAAATCGGCTGGCGGCACGGCCCCGTTGCCGGCCAGCCCTTCCAAAAACCCCTCTGGTAGGGTTGCTTCTGAAAACTCTGCGCATTGAGGACTGCGCCTTATTGAGGGAGGTGAACACGTTCACGTGTTTGTTGAGTTCCTTGAGGAACGGTTCGCCAAATAGTTTCCCTTGTGCCTGGGGCCCAATTTCCTTTGTGCCAAGGTCTGCCAATTTGCCGTTAATACGGTACAACGCTGCTTTTCTTCTCTCCGAAGAGAGCGTAACATTAGTGTTTCCGATGAAACAAAAACACCGTTGTGCCCACTCACGAATATCATGTGCCCATTCCCTGATGTCCTCAGCGGAGAAGGAATCGGCTTTGGTGTAGGCATCATCAGCCAGATACATAATGCGAGCCAGGGGGCCGACAGAATCCAGCAGGTTATCTTGGGCGCCCCATAGGCCTTTCTCCACCCCTCGGCGAGGGTCTCTACCGCTGCGCGTCATGAAGGTTGACATAACCTTGTCGAATTCCGGGGTCTGAGCGACCTTATCCGGCAGGGAAGGGCGTGGGCATTCAGACCTGAGACGGCTGCGGACCTCTTTCTCCAGAGGTTTGCGGAGCCACAGGTGCATAAATCTTGAAAGGTGTTCTGGAGGCGACCAGTCACCTGATCTGGGGTGCCGAATGTTGCGGGGGTCGAACATCACCTGGCCTGAGGGGTCCAAGATGGTGTCTGCATCAAGAGGAGGCTCTGCGTCCGCAGTGTCCTCTGCACCTCCTGTCTGGGCCGCACCCAGTAGGGTCTCTCGCATGAAAGCGGAGACAGATTTCTCGTCCGAGCCCCATGCGTCGTAGTCCGAGTCGGAGGCGTCAGCTTGCCATTCATCCAGCACTGACATGGACTGTGCGTCCTGCTCTTCGCCTGAAGAGTACTCCTGACGCGGGGCCGGGGTGTGTAATTTGGCAGACTTGCGCTTGGCAGGTGCCTTACCCTTAGTCGGTTTGGGTGTGTAGTCTTCGCCTTTGTCATGGCGTTTTTTAGGGCGGGAATCCTCCCGTGCCTGGTGGTCGGACACTTCAGAATCCGATTCGTGGCGTGGACGTCTGCGTTTTGGTACGTCAGGAGCCGAAGCTCGGGCCTTGGAGAGTGCCTTCTCCACAGAGGCAGCGACAGCTGCGTTAATCATGGCCTGGAAGTCCACAGGGACGTTCTGGGAATCTTCCATGTTAGGGTAGGCTTATAGGTCACTGAGAGGCACAGCAATGAACAGGCACCCAGGTCTTGATAGTAGGCGTAGGGTCAGATTTGGAAGTATGGTGGGAACAAGCCCAAAATAACCCCAGCAGGGTATAGTAGTGACCTTACAAACTGGGGCTCACCCAGTTAGAGAGAACTGCAACAGCTAGTCTCCCAGTAAGCAGCGTCTTTATAGTGGGGGCTCACCCCGGTTGCACAGGGATGGTACCCTTAAGTGCAGGCCACAATAACAATAAACAGGCAGCAGCACTGACCTGACTGACCCAGCCACAGGATAGCTTGATAGAAGCAGATGAGGCACAGAGACTGAGTAGCAGGTTGAAAGCAGCAGATGGAGTGCTGAGCAGGTAATCCTACAGTCACAGGGGTGTCAGACACAAATAGGTGTGAAAAACAGCAGCTTAGGAGGTAACAGCAAGCTAGCACAGCCACACTGAGTCCCTAATGAGATGCACGAGGAAAAACTAAGATGGCCGCGAGAATCTCGCGATGTCCGCGATCCAAAATGGCGGCCGCGAGGTAGGCCGCAAGCCGGGGACTAAATTTTGAGGCCGGCCGCGGGCGGAAGCGGGCCGGCGCGAAAACGGCCGCGAACAAAACCGGCCGCAAGGAGGAAGCCCAGGAGAGCACTCCAGGGTAGGGGGCAGAGGGGGAACCTGGGGAAACCAAGGGGAAGCCCAGGGAGGGTCCCAGGAGGCACAGAGGGGCAGAAGGAGGCAGGAAAAACCCACAGAGAGCCCCTAGTCCCCCAGCCCTTGTATAGAACAAATAATAGAAGGAAAAGCAAAACCAAGATGATAAAGTATGTTGCAATAGCAAGGAATAAACAAGAAATGACAATAAATGTATAACAAGTAATGACAATAAATGTATAAAGCTCCAGGGGAGCAAATATTCTGACCTGTCTGCGATGGAGCAGTAAAGAAAGAGAAAGTGTACAGGCAGCATGACCCTTATATACTATGCTGCTCAGTGATTTATTTGTTACTCTTTACGTTTTTCTTTACTGCTGTGGAGTTTAGTAAAGAGAGTTAATGCAAAATAGGAAGCCTCCTGTCATGTTATAAAATTAGCAGTCAGGAGTCAATGTTCTGTTAAGAGCCATAACCAAAACAATAATGCATTGGTGAATAATCATATAAAACAAATATCAACAAATGTAAAAAACTGAAATAGTGTAACACTGCAAAAAATAAAATTATAAGTGGGAATAAGGAAAGTATTGCACTCAACAAACGTATATTGATAGAAGACATGTAACATTTAAATATTCTCTCATCTCACACAGCGGAATTATATAAGGGGAATTACATAAGTATGGAACAAATCCAAACTCATTCTCCAACGCTGGAGTCCACTGTACCTGACCTGGACAGAAAAGATAGTGGCATTCAAAATGTCTATCTTACCCAAACTACAGTACCTCTTCCGTACACTTCCCCTATCACTCCCTCTAGCTTACTTTAAAGGTGTTCACAAAGACATGTCCAAATTCATCTGGGCAGGCTTCAGACCTAGAGTGGCCATGAAGGTGTTCCAAGCTCCAACAAAAGAGGGAGGCCTTGCAGTCCCCTATAAAAAGACTTACCACCACGCCTCCATACTGGCCACGGTGCTGCCTCATTTTCTCGGAGGCCCCAAGCCCCAATGGGTGGCCACAGATGGTAATTGGATACTGCCCTTCAACCTCCCAGCATGTTATGGCTACTTAAACACTCAGGCCACCCTTATCGTCAGCGCCGCCTCAGATTACCTTAACTCTCCAGGTTTGGGATACCTGCAGGTCTAGCGTGAGCTCCTCGAACCCACTCTCCTAGGCCACCCCCATCGAAGCCCTCCCGTACTGCATCCCCACTTTCCATGATAAACCTTGGCAGATTCAAAAATTTACACACCTATACCACATACACGCAATTCTCCTGCCTGCAATTGAGATCATTCCTAACCCGAGGGCAATTACAAGCCCCCCTACCGCACACGACTAAACACTCACTCACTGCATGGGAACAGATATGTATCAACAAAATGCTTCCACCTCTGTGTAAGCCTATCTCCATGTGTTACAAGTCAATATTAGATTACCTCCCATTCCACAAGTCTGCACCTTCCCGGCAATGGACCACAGATCTGGGAACTGAAATCTCTCAAAAACAATGGGGCCACCTGTTCACCATGACCAAATCCCTAATCAAGTCCACTACCCTACCGGAACCGCAGCGGAAACTGATTTATAGATGGTATATGGTGCCAACGCCCATCCACAAGATCTTCCCAGATAGTTCACCACACTGCTGGAGATGTAACAATCAAGAAGGGACGGTGCTCCATGTTTGGCGGCAGTGTCTGGCTCTCCAAACGTTTTGGCAAGGGGTCCACAATCTATTGTCGTCCCTGGCAGCACACAAATTCCCCTTTCACCCAACTACATACCTAGCCATGCTCTTCCAGGACGGCCTCACTAAATTTATGCAGAAGCTCATGTACCATGTCCTATTGTCAGCCCATAGATTGATAGCCAGAGCATTGAAGTCCCTGCACTGCCCTGCTGTGTCCACTCTACTGACGGACATAGATAAACAACATATGTATGAGCATTGTTTCCTCAG